AGCCATTTTGAGCACTAAGTTCTTCATAACCAAGATTTTCAATTTCTTTTTCATGGCCACTTCTTATACTTGAAATTGAGTAACCTTTTTCATTTTGAACTTATTTGCAAAAAGAAGTCAATACTTCCAAAGTTTTATTTTTCAGAGTTAATAAATGAAACCATGTATATCTAGTAAAATCATCAATAATAACAAATCCATATGGTTTATTGCCAAGACTCATAGTTCTAGTAGGACCAAAATGGTCTATATGAAAAAGTTAAGGTTCGGACGTTGATACACAATTTATTGGTTTAAAAGAATTTCTCCTATGTTTTCCTTTGACACAAGCATCATAATTTTTTTTTCTTTTTAAAAATTAACTTAGGCAAACTGCTAACTAAATCTTTTTGAAATAGTTTTCAAATATATTCTATACATGCTAACATGCTTAAATTTTCTATGCCAAAGCGATCAAAATCCTTTATAGTCATGAAACATATGTTTTTAGAAAATAAATCATCTAAGTGCATAACATATATATTTCTTTAAAGATAACCAATAAAGATTACTTTTAGTGGACTTGATGTCTATTACTTGACAGCCCATGGGTTAAAGCAAACTAGTTTTTTGTTAAGGATACAATGGTTAAATTTTTTCTTCTACAAAGGTGAGAGAGGAGAGATGCTTTGGTGGTGCTTGAAAAAATTTTCAAGATCAACCAACGTCTTCACATGTACTAATTTATTAAAGTTATTCTTAAAATATTTAAAACCCCAAATGCTAGCTTGTGCATAACTTGTATTGCCTTTATAATTAACTTCAATGTCTAGATCCCTATTATTGACATATACTTCTCAAGAAGATTTTGAAACGTAAGGAGTCATGTGATGATAAAATCTCCTAATTCAATTTATGTACTTTTGAAATTCCAGATTTTCTTCTTCAACTCGACCGACAATGTATATGATTTTGTACATGTTGCCAGCTCTATGTGGGAATGGAGTTTCAGTCTTTGGAATCTCATCCATGTTCCCCGCATAAGGTATCAAGATAATTAATCTTCTTCATAGAACCTTTGCCACATTCCCTCAAATATAATTTTTGGAATAGGTTCCTTCGCATAGTCAGATTTTAATTTAAAAACAGTTTTGTAAACCGCAGTACTCCTATCAAGCAAAATCTCCAAGCGTTCTATTGGAAATTGACTCAAGTATAGAAGAGACTGAATCCAACTCATTTCAATGCAGTCTTGTTTCACAACTCCAAGCTCCGGAAATCTTTTTTCCATCAATGAAATGAGATTATCAACCCCACCCAAGAACAAGGTAGTAAAAACAGCTTGAATTGTATCCTTTCCTTCTTGACCAGAATTTACCCTTGTTATGGTGACAATAAGGTATATATCATCAGGAAGCTTGGGTGCAACATATTGCCAACGATGGATAAGTTCGGTTGCATTTTGTTCCAAGGTCTTTGTGATTGAGAAAACAGTCACGATTGCTGGAACAAGAACCAAGTTCAATTTCCAAGCAAGGACAATCCCATAGCTACCTCTTCCACCTCCTCGGATAGCCCAAAACAAATCTTCTCTCATGGATTTTCTATCAAGAATTCTTCCATTAGCATCAATTAAATGAGCATCAATAATGTTATCAATAGATTTTAAAATTTGGCTAAACCTATTTGATAAGCTACTTGATAAAATAAATTGTATAAGTTTTAATTTTAATTAAATTACTATAAAGGTTATTCATGTTATTTTTAATCACCTAATAAACTAAAGCAGAACAAGTTTGCTTCTGAATTTATATATGATTTTAGATGTTAAAATAAAAAAAATCTATATAAAGAACAACTCTCAAATTTTGTATAGTAATAATATTATTAGATTTTAATTATTGATCTAGCAAGCAATCTGGTCATGCTCTTCAATTCCCAAAAAGAATAAAAAAAATGATGTATTTAATATTAAAATCATTTTTAGTGAAGAATAAAGAAAACTTTTATACAGTAACTGAATAAAGTTCTAAATTTTGTATTTCTTTTCTCTTAATCTTTGTAAAAAAAATAAACTTCAGATTTTGTTATTTTTTTATTGGATCATTTATTTTTTTTCTAATAATTTTTGTAAAGAAATAAAGGAAATGGATATCGTGATTTGCATTTTAGAAAGGTGACTTGTAGAAAAGAGGAAAAGAAATGGTGATCGATTAAGAGAGAAAAAAGTGTTTCTTGAAAAACTAACATGTTTTTAAAAGAAAAGAAAAGAAAGCTCATCTCTATAACTTTTTTTTTAACTTTTTTTTAAAAAAAGCTTTTTACAATTTATTTGATTTAATTTTTACTTTTAAAAAGTAGGTAACTTGAAAAAAGTCTGACTGAATAGGCAATAAAGCTCATTATGTATTTATTTTTAAAATAACCAACCAATCAATTACGATCAATTATGGAATTTTTTTCAGACATAAAATTAAATATGGCTCATCAAAATTTTATTATTATATTTGTTTGAATCTCAAATTTAAATATTTTAAAATAATATACTATAATTTAAAACCCCATTAATTTAGATTTTTTGTTTAAATGGTGTTCGATGCGTATATAAGAACCTAACGGCACGCTTGTTATGGGCTCGAGATTCGGCTTCTGCCACAGACAACAAAATTTGCTTGAGAATGAAGTTAAGGTGAACCTGATGAACGAGACGAAGAAATATATACAGAGGTCAGAAACAGTGTTTATGACCTTACTCCATACAAAGTCCAATTCTGAACCTCATTCTTTGATTGTTGGACCTGCCCAACACGAGTTTTTGGGCTCTTAAGTGGATAGAATCCCTTTGCTCCCAGTTTATACTATGTTTCAACTTTCATCATTGCTTTTACAGTGGAGAAAGGAAAAGAGGAAAATCTTTTATTTACAAGATGATTATAAAACACTTTTTTTCCTCATTATTGAGTAAAATAAATATCTTGTTTTTATCCTTTCATTGGTTTTATTAGGCAATTCTTTCCCCTACACATAAGAGGAAAAAACAATGCAAATGAGTTTGTATCAATTGGTATTTCGCGAGTCATGCTTATAAAAGCAAGATAATCCAGCAAGCATGAACAAAATAGAGTTTTTGTTTAACAAAACTCGTAATTCTAGCTAAATATGAAACTCATGAGCAACAAGAAAAAACCCACAAAGACGTGCACAATTTAAAAAGCAAAAAAAAAAAGAATATCTATTTTCTATATATATTGAAATTTTTTAGTATTTCAATTTTTAAAAAATAAAAAAAAATGATTTCATTAGAAGCACGCTTTAATTGAAAACGGAGGATTGTTTTGGGATAATGCTATCATAAAGAAGAGAAAGAAAAGCATAGTCTACGTGTTGTCTTTAAACAGAAAAGAGAAGATTGGGCTAAAATGAATTGAATCTTTTTATTTCAAAAGAAAATTGTACGAGCAAGATTCCAAACCACCCTACCAATTTTGACGTTTTCAAATACGGAAGAATGACTTGTATGAGCTGCCATTTGCACTTTTCTACTCTGTCATGTCAAAACTGAATTTTATATCCTATTGAATTACTTATTTTGTTATGATTACCCACACATGGGTAAAAAATTACTTTGTGATAGTGAATTTACAAGTAAAATATATCAATATTTAAATATCGACAATCACTCACCCTTTTTTTTAATCTATTTTCGTTACTACTTCTGATAATCTTATGTGCTCTATTTATTTGTTTATATTCTTTACAATTCACGCACGTATTATAAGTATGTGTGTACAAATTAAATATGAGCTGAGTTGACAAATTAAGTAGTGGAAATTAAAACTCCTTTTATTTTTATGACGCAAAATTTAAACTTAAAAAAAGAGCATTTTTTGTTAGAGAAAAACAAAAGCAAAGATTAATATGTCACGTAAGCACAGCGGAATAGCTGACGTGGCCTCTTGTATGTGCTGTATAAACATACAAGGACAGCTCTTTTTGTTGGTTTGTTTGACCACTACAGTGTCACAAGGATACATGCGTAATTTGGAATGAATGGATGGATGACAAGGTCCATTAGCAGTAGCTTCGCTGGCCCACCCCTGACGAAAAAGAAAAAATCAATCCCAGGAAAAGGATAACAGTCAGCATCTCATAAAACCTGCCCATCAGATTCTTTGTTGATCCCCAAAATATCTTTCTCTTCAATCCAATTTTAATCCTTTTAGGACCAGATATTTTCGCCTAGCTTGCCCCACCACAATGTACTCGCTCCTCTACTCCGCCCCTTGCATACTCGCCTCTGTGTCTCATACTGCTACTTCCTTAAAATGGTAATTGCATTTCATATCTTTTTGTTTATATTTTAAGAAAATTTTTTAATTGTCAACTCAAGTTTGTCACATGCGACACATGTGAAAGTAAAAACAATACTAGCACACAATTTAATTTGAAGAAATCCATATTATTTTTAACAATTTTGGATTATAATTAACACCAGTATACCAACATTATTGAACCGTGACAAGATATTAATAGAAATCTTTCATCATTGGTAGATGAAATTAATCATGCCTGCCCCTCTGCCTGAGATTCTTTTATGAAATGATGACTTGGAAGGGTTTAGAAACTACCAAGTACTTTTAAGAAAGCTAAGCTTGTTTTTCTTAGCGTTTAATCTAATGATTTAATCAAATGATGTGAAAGCAAGTAGATTTTTTTGCTGAAAAATATTTAACTATTTGAAAACATCAATTACAAAAATGATGCAAAAGACAGCTAGCACGTACATGGTTTTTGGATTTTCATTGCCATTTATTCACTCATAAGAAAACAAATATCGTCGGGAAACATAAAAGAATTTATCTGGACATGTATGAACAGGTGTCGGGTGTAAAACAGCGAGTATCGAATTTGGGTATTCTCATCCAAGTCCAACATCCCTCCCCTTTTGTAATTGGAAGAGCCCGTCAAAAGAAAACCCAACCCTACGGCCACACTCTATATAAAACCCTGAAACACTTTTTCCAACCCCACCCCTCCCTCCAACTCAAAAAGATCCGCTTGGAAAAATTGCTACAACAACTCAAAAACAAAACAGAAAAACAAGATTGACACTTAAAAGAAACATAAACAAAGCAAATAAACCCACCCACCAAGGCACCAACTGTTTGTTTCTCGAAAATCCGCAAGAGAGGAAAAAAATTAAAAAGGAAAGAAAGGTTAAGTCTTGTTTTGGCCTTTGGGAGCCGGTGGGCATGGATTCGCAGGTGCCCAGCGACCGGAATGAGCCGTGGACGAACGAGAAGCATGTGCACTTCTTGAACTCCGTGGAGGCATGGTTCGTCCATACAATGCTAGAGAACGACGGCCGCCATAATCTCCGTCTGGACCGTCACTTGCCAGACAGCTCTGAGTCGACTCTCGATTGCAAACAGAACCAGACGAGAAAAAAGCATGCCACTTCAGGTAACAGTAACGTTCTTGTCATTGGCCTTGTTTTATTGTTGTTTTTGGTGCATTTTGAGCGCCAGTTGTCAGAGATTTGAGGGTTTTGTTTAGAGCTGTATTGATCATATCATGATTACCATCTTCCATGGTGCAAAACGGTGCATCTTAGCATAAGACAAGTGTTTTTTCTTTTAATCTTTAGACCTTGCTTGTTTAATGCTTTAATGTTTTGTTGTTAAGTGCCAAAACCTGGAAGATTTTTTTTGGCATCTTGGAAGTGCTGCGCGAAAAAGCTGTGAAATATTGACTTGAGAATGCCCTTTTTTTGTTTGCATAAAATGCGTTTTTTACCAGCCTCCCCAAACACCACCTCAAGAATATATAAAATGTCGAATATGCCTGGAGATATTTGTAGCAGGGTCACTTGGTCAGTTCACTTTATGGTTCTTTTCATCTCTTTTTGATCATTTTTAATTATTCTTTGTCTTGGTCCTTTCGGGGATCCCCGCAGTAGATTTTATTGGCGTAACTAGAAGCAAAATGAAGGGTAGGCCTGACAAAAGATCAAGGAGACCACCATCTAAGCCGCAGGATTCATCACAAGATCAGGTTGGTCACTCTATCAAACCACACTGAGTTTTTTTTTATCATAATCGGATGGTTGAAAAATCAAGGTGCTATGGACCCAGTTAGCTAGCAAGTTTCAATCTTTACAACAGATTTTCTTATAACTGTTTCAGACATTTGATGAATTTTAATCGTAGCAAGTAAACTTGTTGTTAAATTTTATGTTTTTCATCTTAATGGATCGCGTGTGTGGGGTTCGATCGCTCGATCTCTTTGTACAAGAGAAAGTCCCTGTTTAAAGACGAATTAAAGACTAAAGAATTCTGTTTATGTGAGTCTTTTCAGGTGGTCCCACAGATTGACAACCGAACAGGAGATAAAGATGAGGAACAGCTCCCCAATGAACCAGTTGCATCCGTGGCAGCAGCAAACTGATGGAAAGATTATTCTTGTTGTAGGACTTTTTTTTCTTTTCTTTCTTTGCTTTTTAGAGTAGTTGGTTTTGTAGTAGAATAGCAGCGGAATGATTTGTGAGTGTGAGCTATGGTGAAATATGGCTGAATCATTCTGCCTTGCTACTGGGTATCTGTCCTTTCAGCACCAGAACAATATTTGTACTAGTACTTCAGTGTCCAGGATTATGACAATGCTCTTGATTTTTCACTTGGCTATAGAGTGCCCTATAGTCATGTATTTCGGCTGATTCTTGGAAGATATTTTTATGGTATCTACAGCAGGATCTTTTCGTTCTTCAACTGTACGACTCTATATAATAATATTATCCATATGCACACACACATATATATATATATATATATATATGCAAACAATGTTTTAATTCTTTAAATAGAATTAGTTTTATATGGTAAAAAGGTCACGGGATGGGATAAAGGAGATGGCGACAGGGACAAAGAAAGGAGATTTCAATCTTGATCTCTCAGGCACGCCTTATCCTGATGATAGCGTTGGTTGCTTAATCTTTTCGCAAAATGATAATACTGCCTGTCTAGTTTATGTAGTACAGATAATAAAGCCTATCGGATAAAGGTAAATGACAATCTTACCCTACCCGTTGCAGGCAACAGTTGCTTGACAATGTTTTTGGCTAACTGGACATAACGGGAAATTTGATAACGTAAATGAATGTTTAGAGATCTCAACAACAGGAATTATGTATGACATGTTGCCAAATATGATGGAAGATAGTTCTTTGATATGGTTGCAAAACGTTTTGGTTGGTTTCGGTTTGCGACTTGCTAGTGACTTTATTCAAGCATAATTTATTCTCTTATTTTCTTTTCTGTTCTTTCCTTTGGATCTACAACGTGACAGCTTGCTTAAGAGAAGAATATATTTAAAACGAAAAGAAGAAAGTCGTGTAGATATTTGGTGACATGTGTTTGGTGCAATCCGCACTTGAATTCTCTAGCTAGAGCTGCCATCAAAATGGCTTGAGGTTGGAGGAAGAGAGGGCCACTTCACTTCATTTCCTATTCATTTATCTTATCACTTATGTTTGAAGAATTTCAAATGTAAAGAAAGCGAAAGAAACACACGAATGATTCTGATGCCCCATTTTTATTTGGCCAACCTTGTTTTCAACATCCAATATATATCTATCTAAACACAAGTGAGTGCGCACTCTTGATCATATCTAAACTCAAACCATCAATTTTACAAAATATGCTTTTCAGTTCATTATAGTTTAATTTCAACACAAAAGTTTAATCCATATTTTCAACACAAAAGTTTAATCCACATCCAGATAAAGATAAAACAACTTTCCCAAGAGAGAGGGACATAGATATTTCATTTTGCATTTAGCCTTTTAATTTGTATCCTTGATCAGAGCTAATTAAAGTAAAGAAAATATAGATGAAACTGTTTTATGATTAGCTTTTTTTTAGGATCATAAAAATCAAAGTGTTGTCCATCATTTCATTCATTTTCAAGTGACGATTTCTATTATTGTGATCTAGCTGGATTGGAAATATCATAGTCGTACAAAATCACTATGTAGCCATGACATTATTAGAATTTCAACTGTTTTTTCTTGAAAGGTATTAAAATTTCAACTGTATATATAGTTTGCAATGATTTTAGCTACCACTCAAGGTGGATTCATTATTAGCGTCATTATTATTCCCTAGGATAGGCGCTTTTTACCCCTACCTAATGAAAATCTGTTAAACGAACGAATTATTAGTGTTCATCCCGACCTGCTAATTTTTATTATTACTACTATTTTTAATCCTGCATGGCTGATATTTTATCAAGCAATTTGCTGTGACATAATTTATAGATATATAAAATCGATAGCATGTCATTTTCCATTCTGGGAGAGGAGGGTGAGAGCATCCATGCAGCCAGGAGAGTGTATAGGCGTGATTGGCATGGAAGACACACTACAAAGCACATGGGAGGTTGTCCTTTTGACACCGTATTGCAGCAGTGTGGAAAAAATGCTGATCTCCATTCAACTTATTTTCTTGTCTCAGAAGCTAAGCCAATAAGATTCTCGATTGGCAATGTACAGCTGTAGCATATATCAATGAGGTCTTAATTAAAGAAATAATCGAATCTTCTGCTATTTGGTTCATGCTTCTTCACCCCAGATTTTGAGGGCGTGTGACCATGTTCTATTTCTTGTTGGTGAAGAAACGATTTCATTCCCTATTTCTGTTGTTTTAAGAGTATCGTCACTTTTACCCAAAGCTGTTAGCCATCTCGATTCTAGATATATTGGAGCATATAGATTTACTTAGCATTCTTCAAAAGAGATTAAAGACAAAAGCGGAAAAAGCTTGACCGACAGGCTACAGCCCTATAAAATTATCAGATTTTGGATGCCCATTTCCATGGAGGCGACTCTTAAAACATACCAGCATCTTTGAAATTGATGTAATTATAATCTTTTACGGGACCGAACAAGCTTGTGCAAAAATGGACTTCCCAGGGGTTTAGTTAGAGGAAATAAGGTCACCCGCGGTCTGCTTAATTTTGATCAATAAACAAAGAAATAGCCTGGGATGAAGAACTTATGCAACCTACAAGCCTTCCCAGAGAGTAGTAGCAGCATTACAGTTTCTCAACCTCAATATGGAACAGTGACCTCTTTCTGAGAGTGGCAAGCATCAGCAGGAAAAGTACTGCATCTGTGAAAAATTTTCTAGATTGTGCGCACAGGTCCAAGGAACTCTTTCTTTTTTCGCTAGTTGTTTTTGGTTCTTGTTATTAACAAAATGCAAAGAGTAAAAGAGTTGAATACCCTACTGTCATATATCTTCATAAAAATTAAATCACCAAACTAAAAGTCTTACACATATATGCTTTGCGGGCTTAGGTGATTTTTAAAGGAAAGGCTTTTTTTTTTTTGTTTTTGTAAAAACAAAAATCCAGATTTAATTTTTTTAGTAAAAAGTTTTATGTAAATCTAATGTTTAAATGCTTGAGGCATCATTTATTAGGGAAACACATCTTATTGGGTTGCAGAAAAAGTGGGGAAAAAGATTCTTTGAAACTTCTATTTATGTTATTATTCCCAACAGCACCTGAAGGAAAAAATTCAAAATAATAACAAGTTTGAATCATGAAATGAAACAGAAAAAAAAAAATTAATTATTTTGTAAAAATAAAATAGAAGAAGAATTATTATAAAATTTGATAATTGATTAACATAGGATATGCTAAGATATAAAAAATTAATTATAATTAAGATTTCATTATTATTTTTATTATAATTTTTTTCTTTTGTCCTTCACTTTTTGTTCTTTCTGGTCATCAGCGATGGAATGCCTTTTAGTTGCAAGATCAGCCACCTCTCTCTTTTCCTTAATTTTGTTCTTTCTTTTTCTTGTTTTTCTTCTCTCCGACCACTGTTGTGGCAATTTAGTCGCCGATGCCGCTGCCAATGACCAGATCTTGTCCCCAGTGAGTTGATTCGACGATGCCAACAACCATAAATGATGGTCAGTGCTAAACTCACCGATTCAGCAACCAAATCGCTCCATTCCCAAGGATCCAGCAAACATGGTTTCACCTTTGATCGCCGAAAATGGTGTTTGCCCCTGGTCATGGGCCCTGCCTAGGTTCTTCGGAGTTCGTTTTCTGGTGAAAGTTAGCCCAATGAGATGATTCGAAATAAGGTAGATGTCTTGCGGGTGTCAAGTTGAGGTGTGGGGAGGAATATGATCTTCTTTTTTCATCTTTTGAGAGAGAGGGTCTGAATACGGTTTCAGATTTGATAAAGTTGGACAGGATACTAATGACATTAAAAAGTTTAGTTATTACTTAAAGGGGGGGAATAACTAGCCTTGATAAACTCTCATAATGATTAGTTTGCATATTTAAGGATTAATCTTTTTCTCTACGAGAAATCGTTATATCAACTCGTTCTTTAAATTAAATTTTAGAGTGATCATTTAATTTGAAATAGACTCAAAATAAAATAATCATTCTAATCAAACAATCTTGTTATAATAAATTTTAACAATAAAATATTAAACACTTAATTCTAATCACACGTTTGATTTGTAAAATAGAATAAAATAATTATTTTATAAAAATAAAATAAAGTATAATTAAAATAAAATAATTATTATGTGACTTAGTACATAAAATAGAATAAAGTAAGTATTATTATTATAATTTATTTTTAAGTTTGGTTCATAAGAATAATTAAAGAATAAATGATAAAATGATAACAGTACCTTTCATTATAATTTAATAAAATAGACAAAATTACTCATTATTATAATTTAATAATATTTTTTTAATCTTTTAATTTTATTGTCATTAAAATTTTAAAATATTAATAATTTATTATTAAATTATTAATATGATTTTTTATTGCACTTTCTTTTTATTTTTTCTCTATTTATATTTTCATTTTTTAATTTCTATTTTCGTTAAATATTTAAATATTAATAATTTATTATTAAATTATTCATATAAATTTTTTACTTTAATTTCTTTTCACTTTTTCTTTATTTTAATTTTCTATTTGTTAAGTTGTAATTATTTTCAATAAATGGTTATTCGCCACCTCAACAACCAACTAAACAAAAGAATAAAAACAAAAAAGACTAAACGGCAATGACTTAACTATTCTCCCATACCAAACCAACGTGTCATAAATAGCTAACAATTCTAATTTTACCAAGTATTAATTTTCTATTTTAAATTAAATTGTACTCTCTCATCCTTTATAAATTCTCATCCATGTATAAATTTTGCTTGGATCTAAATTCATAATTTAAAATATCCCGTTATATTTAGAAAACAAACACGAGAAGTGATATGTTTAGACTCAAATTAAGAAGTAAAAAGCTTTCGAAATACATTGACTGTCCTTCAAGTAGTAATGTATTTGGTGAAACAAAAAAGAAAAACAATGAATACTACTATTATCAAATCTTCTTTCGTGTACTTGGCAGAGACAGCCTAATTCTGAAAGCCAAAAATAACAGACTACTAATATGTGCTTTATTTCTTAAAATACTTAAATTTCTTAGGGAAGACAGATTTTTTAGAACCTCTTACAACGTGGACAGGACCCACATGATCAGTTGGGCTACATCGAAGTCAAGGCCGACAAAACAAGGAAGTAACAAACGACTCAAAGTTCAAACTGCAATACTTCCCTAAACATAAACACTTAAAACTACGTTTCTAAAACAAACACCATCGAGATCTCCCAACCGTCTCTGTCAACGCCCCAAATTCCTTGGAGCGAATTACAATGTTACCGTTCTTTCAAGTTTACGAGAATCTTATACTCCAAACCTTGCTCTCTTTATCGCTCACATTAATCCTCACATTCCTTAAGATCCCAATTTTCTTTCTCCAAGGTCTCCACACTTACATCCACCCTGAAAACGTTGGCCACGGCAACAACGCCTCTTCTGGCGTTAGAGCTGCTATTCGTCGCCCTTCCATCTCAGATTCAGGTCCTGGACTTGAAGGTTACCGATCTTTGTCATCAAGGACCAGTGCAGAACTCAAAAAAAGAAACAAATCTAAAGACAAGTTGGAGTTCGATGAAAACAATGCCCAGATCTTCAGGCTGAAACTCGACGAGGGTCATCTTCAAACAAGGCTTTTTTTCAATGAGTATCACAATTCTTTTGTTTTCTCCTTTGTGGGTATTTCCTGTTTGTTGCTTTACAAGTATTTAGGTGAGTCTGAGGGTTCTGGGGTTTTGGCTAATGGGAATTTAATTCCAGTTATTTTTGGATTTATTGGTTTAACCAAAGTTTTGTTAGCACTTGCAAAGATATCGTTTGAGAAATCTGCTTCTAAGAGGTCGGAGAAGCAATTTAGTGCAATTTTTGGCGTTGTGGGGTTTCTTATAGGGATTATGATTTGTTCTGGAATTGGATGGTCGGTTTCCGATTTCCGTTTCGATTCAGTTGAAGGGCCTTGGAGGATTTTTGTTGCTGTTTTGATGGGATTCCTTTCTGGTTTTTTGTATATGCCTGCTGGGAAGAATGCACGGTCCTTTTGGCTTGGGACTGATCAGCTTAGGTGTAATTTGTCCATAATCTCTTGTGGATGGTTTGCTAGAATGATTTTATATGCCAATTATTTGTTTACCGTGTTCACAGCTTTACTTTGGATTAATCCATTAGCTGAAATTCTTGTTAACAAGAATAGTTATAATGGTAGAGGAGCTGCTGAGAAGTTGGTTGGAAACGTGGGTTTTTCAAAATTGGATTTTACCAGGCTTAGGGTTTTGTGCTTATTGCTTTCCGGGATCCTACAAATTATGGCTTTACGTTCAAATTTGCAGATGTTTTTGAATGAAGCAGTTTTGTCTTGGTACCAAAGATTACATGCTAGCAAGGTCCCAGATTTGGATTTTAGTCGTGCAAAGGTTTTTTTGCACAATCACTACTTATGTCTTGCAGTTTTACAGTTCTTTGCACCGCCAGTATTGGTACTTCTCTTTCTTGGCTTATCTCAGATTGACAGTAACTCCTTTGACAAATACAACTTGGTTTGTGGTTTACTGCCATGTTCTGCTTTTGTTAAAGAAGTGGCTTTGTTTATGGCTTGGTGGATCATATTTGTGTGGGCAATTGTTACTTCAGCAAGTCTGTTGTTTTATCGTCATGGTATTTTGTATGTTTTCTGATAACTTAGTTTTTTGTAATGGCCTTCAGTATTTGGCCTTTGACTTGGAATTTTTGCCTAATTTTGGATAGAGAGTGTGTTTTGCTTGTGACGGATTATTACAGACATTGATCAATACATTTTAATGGAATACATGGGGCAAGAAAAGCTCTTCTCAGATGCTGTTTCACTTCAGTTTATCCCACTTCTGGGTTCTATAGTCAAGCCTGTCTAAAGATGTAGTGGGAACTCTGCTGAAGTGTGCAAGTGTAAAATGATGTGAACCATAGTTTAATTTTTTTGTTTCATATCTATTACGCATAAGAGAGGCCTAAAGTACTGTCAGGACACATATCTGGACTCTTCCATCTGTTATTTGCTGAACAATTGAGCTGCTACCAGGTGATTTTATTTTCATTATGAACTAAGCAATATAATTTCCCAGCATTATTGTCATCGTTTTTTTTTCTGCTCTATTCTATCATGTGGAGTTTAAGGACCTCTTACCGCTTTAAATTATCTTAACCAGTATTTTGCTCCCATAAGGTGTATAATGTTTCCCATTCCATGCTGCAGAACCATCATCTTATCATTAAGCTGTCTTCTGAGATACAAACTGTAATCCATATTAAGTTTTTGTACTACTATCATTTAAATACTTTGGATTTTGGATGAACGATTTGAGATTCTACAGGATTGCTAAAACATATATGCCTTTATTATATTTCTTTGACTTTTGGAGTACCTATTACTAAAACATGTATTCAATATCTGTTGATTGTGGAAATAGCTTCAAATTCAATTTTATTTTTTTAATTGGGTGGAAGTGGCTGCTGTGATCATGGATATCATTCTTGTAACTCTAATGGATAAGCAATCACATTTTGGTGCTACTGTTGATTTATAGACTTGGTGACTGGCTTCATACTTTTGATTGAATGATGATTCTTATCATTGTCAACATGCATGAAGCATGTGTTGTATGTGAGGTAGTAATTTCTTGCCATGACCTGTGAGGAAAATTTTGAAGGTCATTAGTTAGTTAAACATAAAATGGATGAGCCTTAGAGGAGATATTTGATGTGGCTTGGAACTGAAACAATGCTTAAATGTTTAGATCATTGAACATAATGTTTAATAATTGATCTTTATTGTTAGTTAATATAACAGAAAATATTTGTTTTGAATCCCCAGTTGCCACGCAGATAGTGCAGCACAACCGAACTATTTTATAGAAGGTAAAGTTTTGGTGGTTTTAGGCTTGTACCAGATGGGCTTGTTAGGGTTTGTTATGGTTGTTCTGTCAGACATGTAACTCAATGGTTTTAATTTGCAGTCAATTTTGTTGATATTCGACCCATGTGTGCATATTCATCCATTTAGAATAAGAATTAATATATCTAAATCTACTTAACATTGCTATCAAATGGTTTTCGAGAGTCTGCTATTAGGTCCTCTGTAGCCGGTTGCTTGGTTAGCATTACAAAGCTGATTGTTAATTATCCAAAGTGCTATCTGCAAGTGAAAGCCATCTCTTCTGTGGATAAACTACTATAACTAATTTCAATCAATGCTATCGCCTGTTGCAGCTTCAACCATCATAAATCTGTTTGATTGAAATGATATGAATTGTATTCAAACAAAGGCTTGATTTCTATTCTGAATTCTGGATCAAACGGTACGAGTGGCATTAAATCTTTCTTACAGATTTGATGGCATCTCACAGTTGTTATTAGTTCTCTGATTTGTGCAACTTCTTAGCATACTGATTTTGTTCTTAATTTACTCATAACTCATGAAAGCTGCTTCACATAAATCTTCATTGCCATGGTACATACATAATAATATATATATATATATATATATATGTGAGTTAAATGGTTGCTAGTCCGTTAGCTTATCCCCTTCTAGATTCTGTTTTGGTATTTAATGGTTTAACATATGATTTATTAGTATCGTTTTTACTCGGAGACAATGATTTTCAGGCTCTCACGGCCGAACGAAAATGTTGTTTTCTGTTGATTGGATAAATGTAATTTCCTTTTCCTTTTTTTCATTTTTATGTCGGACAGGATAATCCCATATAATAGTTGGCATCACTTTGAGCGCTATATTGATTTATGGTCATAAAACCTCCTATCAGCAACGGTGGCAAATTTGGATCCAATATAGGGGACCAAAAGGGGCACGGCTCTGGATTTCAAAGATCTTTATTCTTGGAATTTAGGAAACATTCTAAAAACCATGGGAAACCTTAACCATGCAAGGCTACTTGAGCCAAAACAAAACATGCCCTTCATCAATGCTTGTCAAAAGTAATTTAGCCTGGAGAAGAAACAGTCCAGGCTTTTAACAAGGAGGGGAAACAAAAATGAAGACCAAATCCAGTACAAGTGCTTCAAAGAAACCTCCTTTTAAGTAAGGTTAAGATTAACGTGCTTCCCCTAAATGATTTTCATTGCAGATTTGACAGTAAAAGAAACTAGAACTCCCCCTAAGTCCCTATTTACTTGGAAGTACAGGACTTAATAACGAAATCTTTAACAGTTGCATGAGCCCAAAACGTTGGGAATTATCAGGAGCTACGACATCTCCATACAACAGTTGTTTGATTATCAGTAGCTATTTAGGTAGGCCGTGAGAATTTATTACCAATTTTATGAGTCATTAAACATTAATGAGCTTTTAATAATCATTGATGTATTGAGTTTGTTTTGATCCTTTTTGCATACCAAACCCTTTGCTATTAAGATTGTTCTTTCCTCTCCCTCCTTTGCCCTACGGCCTAAGGCTTATAAGGTAGTAGTAACATGTTTGATAAACCCAGAAATTAAATGGAATACAATTGTCGCACCCAAAATTTCTCAAGTATTTTCAATCAATGATGGGTAGGATACGACTTTGTTGATAGTCACACTTTTATCCTTTAAAAATGGAAAAGTGAAATTCAACCTCTTTTTTTCCATGGCAAATCAATTGGAAATGTCATATATATATATATATATATATATAGACGTATTCTCTCTAGCTTAACAGAATAATCAAAGTAGAAGCAAAAAGACTTGAAGTTGAAACATCAACCACGGTTTTGATTAGTTTGGCATCAATCCGGCATAGACTGAAGGAGGAATCCAGTTAAACTCCCCATCACGGTTTTGATTGTTGCTCCCAAATCTCAATATTTTATGCACATATAAAAGTAATAGTAATTAATAAAGGGACTGCCAGACGATAGGACGCATAAATTAAATAAAATGCATTTTGAAATTGGAGGGATAGAAGAAAAGAACAAAGGACGTGGTCTTAGCTGCAGCTTTGGTTCGATAGGAGCTAATTAACAAGACAAGTTAGATCCAGGGCATGTCAGTTGGAAATTGTTTGGTAGACACTAAAAACGCTTTTAATGAAAACAGCTTTCAACCCCCATCTACTTTTTGTCTCTTGGAGCTACTGCTGAATACTGACAAGTTAACGTCTGTTTAGGAATCAACCGTGAATTCCGATTTTTCATCAACTCTCACACACTCGATTAGGAGAGACAAAAACAAAAGAAAAAGGATTGGCCTTATCAATTATTGGTGCTTCTTTGCCTAACCTTTGGAACAAATTCTGTACTCCTAAACATTAAAGCTTAAGTCAAACAACAATTTAACTTGGATTGAAATTAGGGGCTCATTTACATGCACTTAGCAGATTAAATGCTCAAGTACAATCTAAATTAAAGATTAGGTTTTTTGTTATTGCAAGATTAAATAGGCAGATGATATCTTTAAATAGCAAAATATTCTTAATTATTATAATTATATTACTCTAATATCGTGTATATATATATTTATGAATATCATTTCCTTGGTGTTACTCTAATCCATCCAACATATTGCAAATTTCTTGTTGGGCATAAAATTTTATGTTAATTACCGGCTAATCCTCTCTTGACACACATATTAATCTAGATGACAATCGGGGTAGTCATACACGTACAAATTGAAGACATATTTCATCAACAAGATATTTCTGTACTTAGAATTGCCCATTGTCTAGATAACAAAATTGAAGACATTACAAGGGCGGGTACCTGTTATTTGAATTGAGGGTTTGTTTATTTTTCAAAAAACCTTTTTAAGATTTATACTTAAAATTTATTTTAAAGATAAAAACATTTTATAAGTCAATAAAAAAATACTCATTTATTACATTTTTAGAGAACAGAAAAAATACTTTTATACTAAGTCTAGCAGTATAGGTTTGATAATTATTAATATTTAATTTAAAATATTCTCAAAAGCATAAGATATTTTCAAAAGAATAAAAAAATGCATTTATGTTAAGCTTGGCTATATAAGTTTGAAAAATATTAATATTTAATTTAAAATATTTTAAAAATAAGATATTAATATTTAACTTTAATTTTTTATTTAAGATATTAATAATTAAATTATTAAGTATTATTAAAATAAAAAAAATATTTTTTTATAAAATCATTCAACTCAATTAATATTATTATATATAAATTGAATAAATCTTACTAATAATTATAACAAAACATATTTTAATAATTATTAGTTAATGAATATATATTTATAAACATAAGTTTTTGATTATTTATACAATTAATGAATGTACATATTTTTATAGCGTTATGATAAGGAAAGGATGAGATGGAAATTTTTTTGAAAATTAGAGTTTATACAATTAATGAATATGGATGTTTTTGTAGTATTATGATAAAGAAACGATGAGATGGAAATTTTTGAAAGGTAGAAACTTACTTTTATTAAAATATATAAATAAATGTTTTAAAAATATTATATTAATTTTTTTATTTTTATTTTTTAAAAAGGAGATTCAAATTCATACTTTTTAAGTAATAAGATTATTTAGTAATCAATGAACTAAATATTTAAATATTTTTATTTTCATTCTTTATTTTAATATGAAAATCAAATGATATTATTGATTTGTAATTTACTCATATTTATCATTTTAACATAAAAATAACTCCATCATTACATAATTTCGATAAAATGGTCTAAATAAAAAAAATTCATAGTTTATTCAATAAAAAATGATATCTTTTGTAATATATTTTACATAATTTTTTTTATAAATTATTTTTTGTTTTAACAAACAAAACCTCAAACGTGATTAAATTTCTTCGGAAAAACCAAAGAGAAAAAAAGTCAAGGTGGGCTTGGCAGTAGTTTCAATAAACGTAAGATATGGTGCAGATCCCACAGTAAATTCCAAGAAAGAAAAAAAAAGAAAAGAGTGGTACCCACTCACGGGTTGCCACGTATGAAGGGAACATCGAACAGGAAGTTTCTCGACGAGACGTAACGTAGCTTCTCGTTGTTTCCTCTCTTCTTCGTTTCCTTTTCACTTTGCCTTCGTTTGCCATTTCTTTTCTCTGTCTCTCTCTCTTATCTGTTTCCTCATCCCATAAAAGGCGAACCTTCTAGAATTAATCACCAGATCCTCTCCACCTCTTGCTCCCAAAGTAACAAAAAATATATCTTCATTGATTTCAAAATCCTTCAATAAGGAAGATATTTGTGCCGTTGATGGCTCCGCCGCCAGTGGAGCAAAACGGAGAGGCGACGGCGGCGGCGGCGGGAGAATCGCAGAGGTCTGTTCCCACTCCGTTTTTGACAAAAACTTATCAGTTGGTAGATGATCGCACAATTGACGACGTGATTTCGTGGAACGACGACGGATCTACTTTTATCGTTTGGAACCCCACGGTTTTCGCTCGTGATTTGCTTCCTAAATATTTCAAGCATAACAATTTCTCTAGTTTCGTTCGTCAACTTAATACTTATGTAAGCAAAAAAAAAAAAAAACAAAAACAAAAAAAAACTCTTAAATTTAATCTCTTCCCTCCAAGTTTTAAACATGCAAATTTTCTTTATTTTGTTGATTTTTTTTGCTTTATTTTTTTTAGGGATTTAGAAAAGTGGTTCCTGATCGATGGGAATTCTCGAACGATTGTTTCCGACGCGGTGAAAAGCGGCTTTTATGCGAAATCCAGCGTCGGAAGATCATGACGCCAACTACGGCGGCTATTACGGTGTCTACGATGACAGGGATTCCAATAGCAAAACCGATCATATCTCCATCGAATTCCGGAGACGAGCAATCTCCGGTCATTTCATCGACATCATCGCCTTCGAGACCGGGCCAAACGGGATCAGTTACGGCTGAGCTCATGGAAGAAAACGAGAAATTGAGGAAAGAGAACGTGCAGCTTAACAAACAATTAGTGGAGATGAAGAGCTTGTGCAATAACATATTCAATTTGATGTCTAATTACGCGAGTTCTCAATCGGGGAGCAGCTTTGTGGCGACGAAACCGTTGGACTTGTTGCCAGTGAAGCGATTATCCGAAGAAGGAGAAGAGGAAGAGACGAGTCCGAGATTGTTCGGTGTGCCGATTGGAGGCGTGAAGCGCGCGAGGGAAGAAGGGGAAGGTTTGGCGGCGGGGGACGAAACGCAATTACAGCTGCAGCAGCCTGGTGGAACTGCGAGTGAGATGATCAAATCGGAGCCGTTGGATTGCCAGAACGCGGGGCGCGACGATGAGCGTGGGAATCAGGACACGCCATGGCTTCGGCAGTTTCACCGAGCGAATCAGAGGGTTTGTAACTGATTCGGTTCGGTTTTAGGTAGTTTTAGGTTGGCCAAGGGGTGGTTGATGGTGGATCCGCGAAAGGTTGGATCCGACCAGAATGTTCCCGTGCGAAAGGAAACCCACGTGCCGAAGGGCGTCACGTGCTTGGTGAAACCTTCGAGAGGGACGGACCCCACTTTAAGAATTTTCTCGGGACTTTTTTTTCTATATCTTTTTCTCTTTTGTTTTTTTCAAGGGAAAAAAAACAAGAAGAGGAATTCTTAAAAGTCTAAACTCTTATAGTATATCTTTTTATGTTTATATAATGAAAATCTAATCATTTTCCACGGCTCTTAAGGATGGAATCTTCCACGAGAGTGATGGAAATTATCAAAACGCGTTGGGTGGAAATGAAGTTGTTACTTCTAACAAGAAATTAGTAATGCCAAGTCATGTGAGGTGGTGAATGCGTGATCCCTCATGTACAGTTAGCTCCTAAAAGAGTTAGATTCAAGTTTCTTTTTATGGAGTTAAGTTCGGTTGGATGATATTTTTGTTGTTATTTATTTTTTATAAAAAAGAAAACCTAATCGGAACCTAAACGAGTTTAAATGAAGTTGCTCAGAGCACACGCTATGATAATTGAGAGTAGCGGATGTTTATGTGACTTATTTTACACGTCCTCTGGCAATATTAAAAAGTGCAAAAAAAAATCTATTTAAATGTGGAACACTAAAATTTTTATTTTGAAAATTTGTATAATTTTCAGAGAATGTTAGTATTTATGTTTCTCAAAGTCTTAAAATAGTAAAATTAGAGCCGAGGCGAGTGTGGTGCATGATTGACGAGAAACGCTGTAGATGACGGGGAACCGCAAAATTTTGTGGAATTGTTCATGATTGAACAGGAACTCGCATGCAATGCTTTTTGGACTCATTTTGAAAGCGTTGGGTAATGTTTTATCAACACATGTTCCCCAGCAGGGGCGTGCATTTTCCTGCTTTGGCGTCTACACATTTCTTTGGAAAGCAAGGATCCAAAGGTTGGATATTCTTTTCCTAGCTTTTCCGTATTGACTCGAAAGACTGAGATTGAATTTGTGGGAGAGATAGCTGCAACTTTTGACTGTTCCAACGAAAGTTATTCAAGTCCAAACTCCAACCCTACTTAGGCCGGTTTTGGATTTGTTTTCATTATATCAGTATGGGCCATAATGTCATATGTTGGATCCACTGTACATTAAAGATCAGCCTACACAAAAAAACAACAAAACGAGTTAACGTCTGCACACACAGTGAAGCATATTGGAAGCTGCAATATGCTGTCAAACTCGATCATTCAATTAAAGAGTGGACAATGCTTTTCATACCCTTTTCATTTTTTTTTTTTAAAGAACACTAACCTAACAATTTACAGGACTAAATTTGGAGGTATTAGCCTATGAGTCAACAACTCAATTGGCCACTATGTTTTCTCTGCTTTCTTTTTTCTTCGAACAATGTCCTTTTCCGGCTTGACTACTACAATTTGCCTTGGATTTTCCAAGGCAGCGTCTGGAATGCTGGAAACAGATGAAAGGAGTGCAATTTTCAAAAGCTTATACAATCTGGCCCTCTACTGATTGTATGAAAAGAAATAAATTGTTGCCGTGTTGAGAATCAAATAAATTTATAAGCAAAAAGGAGTATGAAGTTCAGTTGCTGGGCCTGGATTTTGCAACCATCATGAAGGGATACGAACCAATAGAGAAGATCAACAGCATGGTTTTTTATCATAATTTTTGGGGTGACGGTAAGCTTGCCTTGGTCTCTTAGCATATGCGTCAGAGCTCAGACATTTTTATAGGGTCCCTAATCTTGTAATTACAGATCATTCCAGATTCTCCAGTTCTATATGAAAAGTCAGAAAAGCAAGACCAATGCTATAGAATTCACAAGTTTCTACTTCATCTAGTTTGATTCGGATATAACATTGAATATGGTGATCATACAAGCTGGTCGCACACCGAGTCCTAGATTATGGAAGAATAAGGAGAATAAGTGCGGGTAGCAATTGGATTTGGCTGCACTTCAAGAAATTAAGGCTAATGTTACGTGCGGTAAGTTACAAGAAGCCTGGATTTGTTTAGTCTTTTTTTAAAAGACGGAATACACGAAGCCTGCAGTAGTAGGTTAGGACTGTGAGGTTTAACAATTAACTAATTTACGCCTACACTGGTGAGAAAAAGGAAACATGCAAGAGAAAAGGAAGGGCTGATGGTTGATTTCAGGCAGTAATTGTTGAGAATAATGCTTGCATGGCCTGTGCCTTTGTGCGTGTACTGTGCTGAATAATTGAATTATGACATGCAGTTACTTGCACTTATTACATGTTAAACTGTTTTTAAACTTCTTGTAACACTTGTAATCCATGCCTTAACACTTGAATTCAAGTCTTGACAAGTGTTATGCATGTATCTATATCTTTTGTGTATAAGGCTGTCTCATATGAATAAAGTGTGCCTTTCATCAAAACAATTTCTCCTCTTCTATAAATTCCTTGTTTGGTTCGCTAACAGTTGCTTCATACAAAAACTTTATTCATGTCCTTATTTTATCTTCATGGTATCTAGAGCCTATTTTGATCTTAGCGATTTTGTTTATAAGATAATCAAAAAGCCATTTCTCTAAAATCTTAAAAAAAAAAAAACATCTTTATGCAAAATAGCCTCCACCAATATTTTTAGTCATCAATCTCCACCAAACTTCAATGGAAAAAATTATGCAATTTGGTCGGTTAAGATGGAAGCCTATTTGCATGGCTAAAACCTTTAGAATGTCATGGAATCTGGATGTGAAATGCTTGTCTTGAGAGAGACTGCAACCCTTGTACAAATTAAGCAACATAGCAAGGAAGTTGCTAAGTGCTACAAAGCACTAGCATGTATACATGGGGCTATTTCGGATGCCATATTTACAAGGATAATGGGATCCAAATTAGCAAAGGATGCACGAGACAAACTTAGGGAGGAATTCCAAAGCTCAAAGATGACAAAGCAGATGTAGGTGATGAATTTATTAAAGGAGTTTGAGACCCTGAGAATGACAGATATTAAAAATTGATAACTCTATTATATAGAGTTATCATATGCATCTTTGGAGCATGAATTTTGCTAACCTTCTAGTTTTTTTTTTTAATCCTTAGGTACTTTCTATGCTTTTTAGAAATAGTTTAGTTTATGTGATGTCAATTTCCATTTGTGCAATTTTAGCTTAAATTCTTGTCAAAATCCCTTATTTCAGCTTATGATTATTTGTTCCTTTAATGTTGAAAGAGATGCAAGGACTTAGAGCATAGATGCAAAGGATGGTGCAAGTGGGCTTAAAAAAGCTGTTGAACATGTTGCAATGTTTGAAGCATAATTGAGCTCTAGAAGTCCGATCGAGGTGAATCTTGAACCAATGGAAAGTCGTGAGGATGAGCTATAACTTTGGTATTCAACACTTCACCCAAATCAGAAGGAATCATGGCCAACAATTAAGCTGAAAAGTGAGGACTACAACAAACTGCACTGAGCAAGTCAGAGAGGTTCTTGTTGCAACAAGAATGCAAGTTGACTGCACCAAGGAACAAGATAGAATTAAGCTCCCAAGTCAAAAACTTTCTCGTTGTAGCGAGAATTCAAGTTGGCTGCAATGAGAAACAAGGCAGAATTAAGCTCCCAAGTCAAAAAGTTTATAGCTAAAGCAAGAATTCAAGTTGGCTGTAGCGAGAAACAAAGCAAAATGAACTTCAAAGTCAAAAGGATTTTCACTGTAGCGAGAATCCATTCTTACTGTAGCAAAAAATAGTATATTTGTAATACTAGGTCAAATGGAATTTCGCTGTAGCGAAAATCCATTCTCGTCGCAACGAGAACACATCATTTAATGAATATTCTTACACAGGTTTCTAGGTTAAGTTAAAAAAGAAAAGAGTATAAATAGATATTTTTGCACTGAGAAAGAAGAAGATGTTGAAAGACCATTTTGGGCAAAAAAAGGAAAGAACCAAGAAGGAAAAAAAGAGAAAAGGAATCAATAGCTGGAGGATCAAAAAGCTGCAGCAAATCATTTTCTCACTCTAGATTTGATTCTCTCTCTCTAACTCTTTGTGTAGAATAATGCTTTACTTTATTGAAATGTTTATTTTCCTCTTGAACATGTTGAGCTAGAATTTTTAATCTAGGATTATGGTGGATACTATTATATAGTTGGAATACTTTGGATTCATTTTTACTTACTTTTATGAGAACATCAATGTTTATTCAAATTTATGTTTATTGTCTTATTTGTTGCTTGATCATCAACAAGTTGAGTATGGGATTTTAGATGATGCTTGATAAAGATAATTCAAAAAAACCTAAATTTGAGTAATGTATGTTCATTCCATGTTAAGAAATTAAGTGGGTGATTAATTAATAGGATAGACGTATAACTATTAATCATACATATTTAATATAGGTTTTAAACTTAGTAAACATAGCTTTAGTTAATTTTCGATAGACATATAGATAGATAATAAAGCTAGGCAATTGTGTGATGACTCGATGGAGTATTATGCATGCTTAAGGAACCTAGACTAACATTGATTTTCAAAAAAGTAGGTAGTTAATTTATCTTGTATCCCTACAAAGTAATAGCTGAAACCATAGTCCTAGGATTTAATTACATTGTTTCCTCACTACACCTTTAACTTGTAACTCTTAGGTTAATTTAGATTTTTAGAGTAATTTCATTTTATCTCAACAACTTGTTCCTTTTGTTGCTTGGATAAAACTTAGCTTATTACAATTTTAGTAATTACTAATAAATAGTAAACTAACTCCTTGAGAGATGGACAAACTCTACTTATCACTATATTACTTGTTGCGATCGTGTGCACTTGTACGTAGTCTTTGCTTTTATTTTGCATTTAATTTTGAGCACAATCCATATCACACAAGAAAAAGATATTAACACAACAAAAGATATGTTAAGGACTACATAAACAAAATCATGCGAATGGTAAACCGGGTGCGAATATTGGGAGAGAATCGTTTTGAAAGTCATGTAGTTCAAAATATCCTTGTGTCTCTACTAGAAAGATTTGAATCTACGAATACATCATTAGAAAGGTCAAAGAACCTCTCAACCTTGACTTTTATTGATTTAGTGAATTCACTCCAAGCTGTAAAGCCAATGAGAGTAATGTGAGATGATAATACAATTGAAAATGCTTTATTTGCAAGGATGAAAGGAAAAACAGGGGGCGAATCAAGCATAAAAAAGGGCTTAGGTGATCAAAAGGAGAAAGAAAAAGGAAGGGTTCAATATAACAAAACTCATGGAAAGAAGAACAAGTTCTAGATATGCTCTCATTGCAAGAAAAGGAATCAT